AATATATATATAATATATAATATATATAAGATTTATATATTTATATATATATATATATAATATATATTATATAATATAGTATATAATATATATAAGGTTTTTATGCCTCGAGAGTTCCCTCTCTGTTCTTTCATGTTTATGTTGCACGTTAACCATTTTCCAACCTGCACTTGAAATCTGTTCATTTTCTTTAAATTCTCCTTGCCAGTGATTTTAAGATGAGGTGGTCACTATGAACGTTATGGTAGGACAGATGTCACCCACTGATCTACACAAGTTAGTTTCCACATGAATGCTAACTAGCCAGACCGAAGATATCTCTACTGCTTGTAGAAGCATGCTGGCAGTAGTTTGAAGTTTGAGGTTTTTGAACAACGGATCAATTTCATGGCACACCGGTGTAACCCATAAGTACTCCGTTCTTCTTCTAACTCAAGTCTGAGTCCGAAGAAGCTCAGCACAGTGCACAGGCTCTGTAGCACCGGCGAGGATTCTGAAATACTTTGGGTCGATGATTAACTCCACATTTTGCCCCGACAGAGCCGTCCTCTACTCTTTTGGATTTCCAACTGCCAAGGGCTTTTTTACGTTGCGCAACAATGCACACTGGCGTCCGATCTCACCACCCGTAGACCAGGGGGAATTACTAGAATTCCAAGCCCACGTGCAAAAATCCCAGCCTTTACCAGGGATTGAGCCCGGAGCCTTTAGCACTCGAGGCGGACACCATGCCTCGAGACCACGCAGCCTCCTGTTTGCAGTACAAGTTCGGTATTCTTTGGTGCTTGTCCACATCGACAAAGTTGTGCATGGTCAGTCTTGAGTTTCCCGTAGATAGTGATGTGAAGTCTGTTGTGCCCTGTTCACAGCCAGGTGGATCTTGTGTTCTAAAAGGGGGGTGTCCTAGTGGGTTCTAACGGCTGACTTGACATCCTTTGGTTGGTGAGTACACATTCTATCTGGCCAAAGGTTTATGGCAATTCTAAAAATACTTTCTGTAGTGAGCCGGCCAGACCCCCAGGTTACGCTCAGGTGCCTCATTCTCTCCAGGCAAGAATAATCTTGTTTCGCTTCTAACTCAATTACTTGTTCCCAAAGGGCCCTGACAACATCTGCATTGTCATGTATCAATTAACCACCCAGTGGTACAGATCCAACTAGTATGCCTGCTTGTTCGTTACCCACCACACCAGCATGGCCTGCAGAAAGGCTCCGAAGTATGCTCACTACCCGTAACCTTCCCAGTGAAGCTTGCTATTCTGCTTGGAGCATCCCTGTCTTCACCTTTCTCGGCATGCTTTCAGAGTCTGTTACAATTATGACATGTGTATGCATCTTGTTCTCTAGCCACCGAAAAGCTGCAGTTACCGCCTCCACCTCCATTTTCATGCTAGACGTGGTGGTATCATATACTAGGCTGTCCTGCACTAAAGATTTTCCATTGGCTTTCGCTACAAACCCCTAGGCTCTTCTCTTTCCTTTTAAGACAGAACTATCTGTATAGATAATCAGATCATCTGGGCGAGAATTGAATCCACTGTTCGACTTCCACCCCCGTAACACCCGCTGTCAATTCCCTGCACTCCCGTCCCGTGATCATAACCCTACACAGATCAGACTTTTCCTCTGATACTCTGACCCACCCACAAATCAGACGAATGCTAGGAATAAAGCCAGTCTTAGAGGTCTTCAAAGAACAACAAATGAAGTGGTTTGGACTCCTAACAAGAATTCCCTGGTACTATCTCCCAACACTAAAACGTTACAATGGGTATAGAGCGAGTGGAAGACCTCGGAAAATATGGAGTGATGGCTTTAAGAACAGCCTTACAGAAAGGAACATCAGTCTTTATAGTGCTCTTGGTTGAGCTCATCAGCTAATGTTACATCTCCCCCCGACACTTCGATGAGGTACAAGGTGGAAGAGAAAAGGAAGAAGACTGACCTATTTCTCCTCTCGCCCAATGTTCTCCAGCATGCATACTTGTCTTCTGCTTGAGCCATCCATGATTTCCCCCTTTTAAGCCTCTGACCTTTAATTTCAGCCAAAGCTACATACAGAGGGTGTTCTTTGTCTGCAGCTACTCTGAGATATGACTTAGCCTGCAGCACCTTTAGCCTATCTGCAATATTTGGCAATGCAAGGATGTATCGCATACACACAATCACAGCGTCTCTTGCACATCCCAGGATCACCCGCATAGCTTCCTTCTGTATGCGCTCCAGTTTCTCTAGCTGACTCTTCGAGACAGTGAGTAACCCCAGTCACTGAGATGATTGAGTGCTGGTAAAGTGTGAACAGCTCCATGTCTATTGCTGCCATTATCTTTAGTGCGTTAGGACATTTTGTAGCCATTTTCACAACCCCCTCTATGTGATCCTTAAAAGACAAACTTCTGTCAAAGGTGATTTCTATATACCACAGTTTGCTGTCTCTTCTTATGCCTTTGCCATTTATTTTAAGGCTTGGAACATCAGCTCTAACAATCCTGTCGTCTAAAGAACACCACAGGACAGTTGCCTTTTCTAGGTTAACTATGGCACTCATTTCTGTATCCCAGTCGATCACCTTAATGATGTTACATTTACCTAATGTATGTTTATTTACAATGTCAGATTTACATAATAATGTATGTCTCATTTACATTGATATCGGATTTATATGAACATTTATGTTTATTTACAATGATATCAGATTTACTAGATATAAGATAATGTATGTTTCATTTACAATGTCGGATATACTTGATAATGTATGTGTCATTTATACTGATGTTGTATTTCTGAATTCTCTGAGATGACTATCTGCTTTCTTTAGTGTTAAAACCATTATAAATTACTTTAAAAAAAAAAGTCTAACCAATGATAAATATGCAAGTATGACATTCTCGGCAGCCGGCTACCCGCTCTGCAGACAGTGACTGAGCCATAAGGGATAACTGTGTAGTGATCATCTTAAGTAAAAAAAAAAAAAAAAAGCAAGAAAGAAATCTAAACAATATGCAGATATAAGCATGATAAATATTTATTTCGACTGAATAACAGCAAGTGGAAAACAATATGAGCAGGCAAACAATTCAACAGTTGGGTTATTTTTATTTGGTCTTTTTCAACCCTTTCCCCCTGAGAAGCTGCAAACCCAACCCTTTCAGCTAGGTCCAATCCGCTTTACACGCTGCTTGACCATCATTAGTATAGTGAGCCGTTTATGAAAAGTTAAGCTAATATTAATGGCTCTATTTGCATCGGCACAAATGTTTAGTGCAGTGGTTCTCAACTTTCATAATGCCGCCACCCTTTAATACAGTCATGTTGTAGTGACTCCCAACGGAAAAATTATTTTCGTTGTTACTTCATAACTTTGGTAAATATGTGCTTTCAGATGGTCTTAGGCGAACCATGCAAAAGACTTGTTCAATCCCCAAAAGGGTCGCGACCCATAGGTTGAGAACAGCTGGTTTAGGCTGACCCAAAATGACTACAAGTGCTAATAAAAACAGCACTTAGCTGGGGGTTTTTATGTGAGAAAATGGCTTTTTTAAAATAGAAATTATGATATCAGAATTTCCCATTAGTTATAATGGTAACTGGTGTCCATGACAGGGGTCAAGAACGAGTTGTATAAAGTTTCTTAGGCTCACAGATGTAACCTTGTTAAGGCTCCGCAGCATCTGTGTTTCTTGATTACTCCTCTTATTTTAGTTAGTTAGTTAGTCTTTCCTCTTGAGCCTAAGGTGGCATATAGGGCAGAGGTTATAGCTCTCCATGTCTGGCGGTTCGTTGCCACCTGATTTGGGTCTTTGATATATTTATTAGACCCATATATATTTATTAGCCTTCATGATGATGGTTCTAAGCACAGTCTCTCTTGGTCTTTTCCCTTTTCTTGCACAGAATTTATTATTGTTTAGCTGACATATGGTACTTTTAGGATTTCTTTAGTGACTTTTGCAAATTTTTTTTTTAAAGGATTTTAAAAGGAATTTCCAAAATTGTGTCTGTTTTTTTTAGGTCACCTGGGAAAAGGTTTAAATCTGATTAGTTTTTCATGTTAAGGTAAAATTTGCCCAACTGAGAGAACAAAAACAGCCTCTTACAGCAAACAGGCAAATCATAATAAACAATTTACCCCAATTCCAAAAAAGACTAAACATTAACATTTTTCACTCTGCTAGTTCCAGGCAATAGTTACTTTAACTCTTTATATCCTGAAGAGTTGAGCATAAAAGCAAAAAATACTTATGTCCGAAGAAATTCAAAAGAAGCCAAGTAGTTAAATTAATAATTCTGATACACAGGGCTGGTCTTCTTCTTCTGTGTTCATCCTTACAAGGATGTCTCACACATTTTGCGGTTTACAGTAAGCCAGTGACATTTGCAGCTTTTGGCCCAACACCTCTGATTTCAGCAAACCCCCAAAAATGTGTCATTTTTTACAACATGCCTGTTCATGCCTGTTAGGCATGGGGAAAGAGCTATGAGGGTAGGTAGGTGCTGTGCTGAAGGAAAAAATCGTCACATTCCACCAACAACCCCGAAGTGGGAGCTTTAGGTTATAATTGTGGCTAGGCTATGTGCGCCACATAAAATTGCTTGCCAAAAAGAGCCCCAAAAAGGACTCCTGCAGTGCTGATGATATCAAAGGAGACAGACAAATACTTTCCTGACTGGTGACAAAATCATAACCAGCTAGCCAATGGGCGACCCAGTCGCCAATAAGGGAAGTTGATATACCCCCCCCCCCCTTCCACCCATTCCATCGAATGGTGTTCTAGAGCCCATAAGGGAGAGACATCTGTGTGCGCCAGAAGACAGCAAGAACATCATATTATCCTTGGAAACTCTAAGAAAGATTGGTAGCGAAACAGTTAACCACAGCATAAATACATAATATGACATCAACATTTACATTAGACAAATAAGGTCTTTCAGTCTCAGGTGGCCCATCCAGTCAGCAAAGTAGCCAGGGAATCTCAACAATTTTAGGCTCTACCTTTGCATTACTTCTTGCTGAGCAGCTCTGTCAATTTTGGAACGGCCTGCGGAAAACAATTATAAGAAAAAATAAATTTAAAACAATACTTTCTGTTATGAATTTAAATAATGAAAACACATAATATAGCACAATTCAGTTGAAAAGATTTATGTTGTGTCCTTCATTAAATGCTATCTATGTTCTTTCGATCTGTATCTTGTATATGTTACCTGTCTAACGAGGTCCAACCTGCCTCAGAGCCTTAACAGCCAACACAGTGTTATCTAATATTTTTGAGTAATGACCCCTGCCTTCCAATCTTTTTTCCAGCAAGTAAACATTTTCTGGATTCACAAGTGTCTCAGAGCTTTGCTGGCGTCTGTGGCATAGGCACTGCCAAAAGGCTTTGTAATGCTAGGGTGCTGGACTCAATCCCAGCTGCTGCTGATTTATCTTGCATTGGTTTTGACAGTGGTACCCAGAGCTGACCGATCAGAAAGCTATGGCAAACCACTGAACATAAAATTCCCTGTATGGGTTCCGGTGTCCCATTGTGGAGAAAACACATTTAAGCAATTTTGTGTATTTTTTTGTTTGTAACGTTGTATATGCATGTCATGTGCTGATGAAGGCTTTCTAGCCATGACATTTACCTATCGTTTGTGATTGTGACAATGTGAAGCTGCCTAATTCTACTTTTTGTTTCGCTCAATATTTTTTTATATATGAAAATGCACCTGACAAGATAAGAGTAAAATATTCCAGACTAAAGAGTGTGCAATACAGTGTTTGTGCAATCCTAAAGATTAATTAAAAAAGCAGTTATTGAGTTTTTTAATTTTTTTTTTGGTAAAGGCTTGTAATTTTTTTTTATAACTTCGAGATTCAGTCAAATAATTTTAAGATCACATGGTTCTAAAGTCGATGCTTTGTTGCCAACTTTCCTTGTTTCCAGACGATAGTGTTATTTTGTGCTTATGGGAAGGCATGGGACTCACAGCCCATGGCAATGGCTAGTGTGACAAGCAAGACCCGCCCGCATTAGGAAGTCTTTCACACTCAGAGTAAGGGACTAAAAGTTCATTGTTGCCGTAGCATGTATTGATTGTGTATCTTCTCAAGATGCTCAGTTCTCAACCTTTCTGATAAAAAAAAATTAAAAGCCCACAAAAAAAAAAAAAGTTCAGAAAGAAAAAACAAGTTCAGAGAGAAAAACAACATGCCAAGAGGGAACAAACAAACCCAGAGAGAAAAAAACCGAACCCAGAGAGAAAACAAAAAGCCCAGAGAGAAAACAACAAGCACAGATAGAATATAAAAAAACAAGCCCAGGGGGGGGGGGGGGGGGGGGGGGAGGGGGGGATGGGGGGGGGGGGGAAACAAGCAAAGAGAGAAAAAATATGCCTAGAGAAGAAAAAAAAGCACAAAGTGGAAAAAAACAAGCCCAGACAGGAAGTACAAGCCCAGAGAGAAAAAACAAGCCCAGCGAGAAAAAAACAAGCACAAAGAGAAAAAAAGCAAGCCCAGAGGGAACAAACAAACCCACATGGGGAAAAAGCTCAGGAAAGAAAAGCAAACAAGCTCAAAGGGAAAAAACAGACATATAGGTAGTTTCTCAGAAGTTAATGGTGGCTAGCGTGGTAATAACCTCATTATCTATTGAAAAATTATTTTTTATTTCAAAATTGCTTGAGAGGCAAGGAACCAACAGTCTGCATACAAATGAGTCAGGCCTGTGAAATGGATGTGTATGCAACACTCAGGTTCTGGAACATAACTAGAGTCCAGAAGTGGATGAACAGCCAGAAGTGGATGAACAACCAGAACTTACAGCCGGTGAAAGTGAACAAGAAGAAGGTCCTAAAAAAACATGAGGATACAGTGCATACATGTTCTCTCTAGCATTCATAACTATAATAACATTAAAAATTGAAACAAGAAAGCATTTCAAATAATCTGGCTAAGAAAGACCTAAAAGCTCAAACTGCTAATACCGTAAACAGATCTTCAACTAGTCCATAATCTGCAACTTGAAAGATAGGGGCTTCAGGGTCCTTGTTTATGGCCACAATAACTTTGCTGTCTTTCATGCCAGCCAGATGTTGTATAGCCCCAGAGATGCCTACTGCGATGTAGAGTTCCTTGAAAACAACAGAGAAAAAAATACATCAAACTTAATGTGGTAATCAGGCAAGTCTTTGAGGTTTAAACAACAGATCAACATCATGGCACACGCCATAAGTGCTCCGTTCTTCTTATAACTCAAGTCTGAGTCTGAAGAAGCTCAGCATAGTGTACAGGCTCTGTAGCACCGGCGAGGATCCTGAAATACTTTAGCTAGATTTGTTACTCAAAATTTTGCCCGGGCAGCGCCGTTAGGCTACTATTTTCCAACTGCCAAGAGATTTTTTTACGTGCACACAGGCGTCCAATCTCAATACCCAGAGCCAAGGGAAAATTACTAGAAGTCCAAGTCGACGTGAAAAAATCCCAGCCCCTAACGGGGATTGAACCCGGAACCTCTAGCGCTCAAGGCAGATACCATGCCTCGAGAACAGCAGCCCCCTAATCAGGCAAGTCTAAGAATGGGCGTCTAATCCTGGCCTAAGCCACTGAAATCTCAAGTCTGGTATAATTTTCATGCTGTTTTTCTTTTACGTTTTGTGCCATTATATGTCACATAGGGCTTGCAGTCTATTCCTGGATTTTAGGCTCGGCCAATCAGGGAGCCGAAGTCAATTTGTTGACAATCCCCCCTCCTCAAAAAGAATTGGATCACACGGTCTTCAAGTGTATACGGACATTAACATTTAAACTCTGTACTGAAGTACCTGCACCTGGATACTGATTACAGAAATACTTACCGGAGCAACAATCTTTCCAGTCTGACCCACTTGCAAGTCGTTGGGTACAAAGCCAGCATCGACGGCTGCTCTAGATGCTCCTACAGCTGCATTCAGTTTGTCTGCCAGATCATACAACAGCTTGAAGTTCTCTCCACTTTTCATGCCTCGCCCTGGACAAGAATAAACACATCGTATAATGTCTAACTTAGCTGTAAAATACAACCTTATTCTTTTGCAACTACTGTGGTTTACAGCTAGGCTGCAATATCTGTGCCTTTTGGCCAAACACATCAAATTTCAGCAAAACCCTAGTTAGTCAGGTTTAGTGATATGCTTGTTAGGTGGACAAAGGGCTTTCCTCCATTGGGGCCCCTGTACCCGTACAAGGAGTATACTCTAGCCAGTGATAAACAAGCTTACAAAAGGTTTGTCATCAGCTGGTTGAGGGCCTATGCTCCAGTGGCAGATGAAAGGCACAAGAAGATGAAAAATGTATAACACTAGCTATATATGCACTCTTCTTGTTTGTCTTCTACTTCAAGTTTCTTGCCAACTTGTGCTAGTGATTCCACCTCTTCGTCACCTTCTCAAGTGCTAGCGTCAGCTCATAAAGTAAATTCAATGCATTTAGAATATGGAAAATTTTTAAGTGCAAAAGAGGATCTTGAATCAACATTAATATTGTCAATACTGAACATACAGGATGGAACAATATAAGTCTAAAATAAGATTTTCAGTAAAGACTATTAATGACAATAACAAGATTATTGAAAACAAATTTAAATGCAGACAGTCACAAACAGAAAACAGAGTAAAAGAGAGAGAGAGAGAGAGAGAGAGGGAGAGAGACAGTGAAAGAGATCAGCGCCACACAGAGACATTGTTGGACCCGCCCATGTTTAAGCTGTCTATTCTCAACCCTCCGAAACATGTGGTGAGTTGAGCAGTCTCCATCCAGTAGGCAACACAGCACACCAATTCTGATCAAGTAACTGTGCAAGTGTGAACAAAGGCACTACCTACCATAAAGAAATCATTGAGAGGGAAGCCCTTTAGCCCCCTTATAATTTTCAGCAGGGAGGCCTTGCGGGGAAGGGGGCCTTTAGCCTTGTTTAAGTGTACAACAATAATAATAATAACAACAAGTATTGTTCTTTTTATGTTACTGTTCTGGTTATCCTATAATTGTTATTATTATTACTGTGTGCTGCGTGGCAACTAAATATAATAATGTATATGAAATAATATAAAAATTTAAACACATAATTTAAAAAGAGAGCCCACTTAGCCCTTTCGTAAATTTATTTCTAAGAGGTTTTTTCACCCCCAGTTATGCTACCCCTGGGTGTGAGGAGGGTGTCCAATGGAGCAGCCCTTAACCAACGTATGCCAGCAGAGACCACAAACCATGCAGAAACTAAAGGAAATCACCTAATCCTGATGCCATCTGTCATCTAGTAAGGCATTAGAAAGATATCTCACTCAGATAGCAAAGGATGATGGCTGGGATGGCACTCATCTTTGGGCTAGGAGCCAAAATCAGTTTTGAAAATCTACCTAATTCAAGATAGACGTATCAGCCATATGCACCTGTGAAAAGGTGCTCCAGACAGCAGAGCATTTACTCCAGGACTGCGCCAAATTTGACACATTAGGGCAAACCTTTAGGCCAGAAAGAACAACAGTGGAATGTAAACTCTATGGACCACTGAATAAACTAACAACGACAGTGGAATTTATACGAGAGAGAAAATTGCTGATATAGACAACTTATTTTAGGAAAACAAAGGAAGAAGAAGAAGTAAATCTGCCTCAACTGGGATACTACTAACCTGTGAAATTACATCATCATATAGCAAGTTCTTTACAGAACAATACCCATCACAGCCTGTCTCAGTCCCTTACCAGCTGCACCCTTTTATGTACTTTCCTGCCCAGGATGTCTCTTATGCCCTGTGCCAAACTTCATGCTGGCTGTTCCCTACCTTCTTAGTTAGTACCATGCCTCCTGCTACAGTTGTTTCCAATCCACTGTTTCAGTTTCCTTAACTTGAAGCTGTTTCCAGGCTAAAATTCCTTGATGTTCAGAAATTTCAGAAAGTAATTACAAAGAATACATTCAAAAAACATAACCACCTCCAGCCACAACAGACTTGGCACTGGTCAGTTCAGGACGGTCACTTTTACTCAACTCCTGACCAACAAACTCAGACACTTGACTTTTCACCACTTCGACAGAAACTGAAGAAACAAAATGACAAGATTTAGAGCAAGATTTACCCAAATTAAATTTGAAAGTCTCTGAAAACATGCTTGCGACAATTATTAGTCAAGCAGAGGACCCTTTTCATGCTAGTGGTGTATCAGGTATATGATGCAAGAATCATGTTTTTATTGACCAACTGGCCCTGGTGGGATGATGTGATCAACATTACCCTGGCCGTCTTTACTTATCAGGACTTTATCTGGTACCCATTTTTAGACCGGGCTGACCTGTGAAACAAATCTGACTCGATGTGGATTCGAACCCATGAGCGTGGGGCTGGCAGACTCTAGCCGCTAAACCACAGTGGTGCCCACTCAATATTTCGACTAGTATTTTTTTTAATAGGGGTAGGGTGACAGTGTGTGCTGTGGAAAGATAAGGGATAAGATATGATAAAAGACATATGATAAGGACATGGTGCTACAGATACTGACTTTGTCCTTCTGGACATTTGGCTGGAGTCAGTAGAATGCTTAAAACTTTTAGAGGTGTAATTCTCGTTAGTTAGTCGACAGATCATCCTCACAGCACATCAAGTCCTTCGGTCCATAAGTGCTCGGATCCCCTCCCCAGTAAATTCTGTGGCGTGTAGCAGCTGAAAACATCACTTCCGTTGGTTTATATTTTGCTTGGGCTTTCTGCATAGCACTCTTGACTGGCCACACTTCTTTTAACCCGCTGTTCTTGCAGCCTGATCATCTTGGTTCTCGCAAATATCTTACTTCCTGTAGAGCACTCAGTAAATCAGACTGGTCCACAGCTTATCCTTACCTGCAAAGTAACACTACCAATCTGGACGTAGCCCACACATGTGCTGGCCTGAATCAGTAGTTTTTTTTTTTTTTTTTTATGTTTCTCTGGAAATGTAAAGGTCAGGCCTAGCTCATCCCAACAGTTTCAGATCAGGTCACAGCAAAGTTCTAAACAAACCATAAAAAAAACTATTACTTAAAAATATAAAAATCAGTACTGAGCTCCTAGAGTTGCGAATAAGTACATTTCATGGAAACAAAATCAAATCAGGCTATCAGTAGGGGTTCCAACATCATCGCAAACAGGTCAACTTATAACTGCTCCATGAATAAGATACAAAATTCCCATCACTGCCCCAGGTAAACAATCAGACAGTGGTGGATAAAATTATCAATGAAAAACTATACTTTACACAAGAAGCAGAAAGCTGTACACACTAGCAAGAAAATAAGGAATATTAAAGGTTATATTCTGATGAAGAATAAACTTCTAATGTATGAGTGTGTGTGTGTGTGTGTGTGTGTTCGTATATATAAATATATATATATACACGCACATAACATAATCCTTGACCTGTTAGGAGCGTGGAGGTGTATGATGGAAGCATTAGCACATTTTTTTTTTAATATCCAGAAGCCATGAGTTGTTAACCCTTAGGCTCGGTATTATGGATATCGCAACCGGCCTTGATTCCATGATAATTACTGTAAATCTGGTAGAAATGTGGCTTTTTTTTTTGCCTACCCCCGGGCGTGAACCCGGACCACAAGGAGTTTGTTACCCGGTCACCGCGCAGTCCAGTTTAGCCAACTACGCTAGAGAGCCGGGCATAAGCATTAGCATATAAAACCCGCCATCTTTCTCTGCCTTCCACTTGAAGAATAAGTTTGGGATAATTCAGTCCTGTCCATTTCTTAATGTTGTCATTCCATGTTCTTCTTTGCCCTCCTCTTCTTCGACTAACCCTCAATGTTCCTTGAAGCAGTTTTTGCAATCGAATCATATCTCACCAGGCACCCGAACCAAGCGGCTCCTGATTTCCCGCAAATTTGTATATTTTGTCTCTGACATATTTATTAGTTTTGTGTTCTAAATAACTAATTAGTAAAATCAGTCTATAGCATTAACATTCAAAAGCTTGAATCCTTCTTTCTATTTTAAAAATGAGAGTCCAACTCTCAAGTCTGTTTAGAAAAATAGACAATACCAGTGATCTGTAAATAGTGACGCTGATTTTGCTCCTCCACATCTTATTCAACACACACACAGAAAGAGAGAGAGAGAGAGAGAGCAAGAGAGAGAGTGAGTGTGAGTGAGAGAGAGAGTGAGAGAGAGAAAGAGAGAGAGAGAGTGAGAGAGAGAGAGAGAGAGTGAGAGAGAGAGTGAGTGAGTGAGTGAGAGAGAGAGAGAGTGAGAGAGTGAGTGAGAGAGAGAGAGAAAGAGAGAGAGAGAGAGAGAGAGAGAGAGAGAGTGAGAGAGAGTGAGAGAGAGAGAGAGAGAGAGAGAGAGAGAGAGAGAGAGAGAAAGAGGCAGAACAAAAGAGTCAAAAATGGGAGATTATTTTCATGAGACAACACCATACTTTTCTCTGTAGGAGCACTGCTTCCAGTTGGTGCTGCCTCGAAGGAAGTCCCTCTGACAGTAATAATTTTCACCGGCTCATTCGAATGCAATGTCTGAATTGCATTTCCTGAATAAACAAATAAACACAACTCTTCGTACAACCAATAAATAGCAGATCTGTGCAATAATTCAAATAAAGCAAAAAATCCTGTATTTACTAGGACCTACCCTCTTTAAATAAGCCCTAGCACTTTTTTTTCAGGATGCTTTTAATGTAACCCCTACCCCCAAAAATAGACATTAGCCTAGTTTGTAGGAGTTTGAGAATTCATGGAATAAAATCCCTGACAGCTGTTTTACAAATGCACTACGAGCCGGCAACATTGACGTGGTTGAAGAATTCATGGACACAATCACTGACAGCTGCATACAAATGCACTAATAGCAGAGTACATTGACGTGGTTGAAGAATTCATGGACACAATCACTGACAGCTGTGTTACAAATACACAACAAGCCGGTTACATTGACTTGGTTGAAGAATTCATGTATACAATCACTGACAAATGTGTTACAAATGCATTACGAGCAGGCTACATCGACCAAAAAAGTGCTAATTCAAGGAAAGTCTTCTTTTTCTTTGTTCACTGGCTGTAAGCTCCTCGGGACAGTCCTAGTTTTTCATTCATTTGAACTTTGTGTGCCAGGGCCTGAATTTTACATGTACATCCGTTTTACTGGCTTGTCTGTTGGTTGTTCCTTACCACTGGAGCAGATACACTCCAAATTCAAAGAAAGTCAGTTAGTCGACCCCTACCACATGCTTGTTGTCTGCATTGATTTTAACAATGATATGAATGTCAAACTATTCACAAACCAATGGCAAACTACTGAATATTAAATTTCCTAGAAAAACTACACAATCCAACACACTCTGTGATTGGTATGTGGCATCCTCAAAAGGATATGTAACTAACTGGTGCCTGCACAATATTTGAGGGAATCAAATGGCATGACTGTTATAATGTACCAAATTAGTATAGTTACTGCTGAAGGCCTGTGATATGGTAATGTGGTATATTCTGTCTTTCCACACAACAGTGCTATACTGTGCTATAAGGAGACCTGGCATCACAGCCCATTGTTCATTTTCTGAGATCATTTTCACAGCCCCTGTTCATTTTCTGAGATCATTTTCACAGCCCATTGTTCTTTTTTCTTAGATCATTTTCACAGCCCATTGTTCATTTTCTGAGATCATTTTCACAGCCCATTGTTCATTTTCTGAGATCATTTTCACAGCCCATTGTTCATTTTCTGCAAACATCTTCATTGCACATCCGACCATAAGTGCTCCGATCTCCTCCTGAGTACGTCCCCAAGTGTTTATAGGCTAACAACTCCCATTCTGTTCTGGTCGATATAACGACGGGTAACTCCCACATGGTTTTCCTGTCTCCCCGTTCCAATTGGTACACCTAGGGTATGCAGTCTATTCGTGAAAACAATTCCACGAAACTAAAAGCCTCACAGCGTTTGGTCTCTCATATGGCATTAATGATGTCTCAGGGCCCATTCCTGATAGTCGCATTGCCAGCCAGACTGCCTGCACTCTCACTGTCTTTCACACCAGCATGCCACGGGACAAAAATTAGGGTGATTTTGCAAAACGTGGCATGTTGTATCAGAGGGAGCCACTTTTTCCATGTGTAACCCGTCTTCATCTAATGTAGCATGCTCATAGCCCATGACAATAGTGAGTGTGACTAGCAAGACCCATTTGCGCTAAGAAAATTTTCCACAATTATGTTTGATATCTTAGAACGAATGTTACCATATCATTATTTAACACACTTCTTCTCAGTCAACTTTTTACCTATCTGCAACCATTTTCTCCTGGTCCCTACTTCTTCCTGATTTTTACCCACTAACAGCATTATTCATGGCATCCTGCTCCTACAGATCTACCTCAGTACCTGTGTTAAATGGGAAGTCATCGTGGTGCTGGTGACTAGACACCCGCCTGCGGATCAGAAGTCGTGGGTTTGTGTCCTGACCAAGTCATATTTTTTTTTTCAAAAATGACCTTGACTTTTAGGTTGACCCAGCCTTGAGTGGATACCAGGTGCAGCTCTGGGAAGTAAAGGTGGCCAGCGTGTAGCTGACCACATCATCCACCAAGTGCCAATTGGTCTATAAAAAATAGGTCTAGCCCTATATTCCCAAAACGCTTAAGGCATGGAAAAGGGGCCTTTACCTGTATTAAATGGTACAAGACCTTCACATATACCCAAATGAAGACTAGTGAACGATTACCTTCCTTTTTTTTCTATCTTTTCCTTTCCAAGAAAGTTAAAAATCCCCAGTAAGTTTCATAAAAACTTCATATAAACGGATTCAATCTTACATTTTAAAATACTACACATGAAAGTCTAATACTGGAAAGCAATAACGCAACAATGGCAACATTAACTAAATATCAAAGTATCAATAATGAGACGGAAATAAAATCAGACGGCTACTGGTACCATCAGAATTGGAACTCTTTGCATGCTGCTGAAGATGGGGACTGAGCACTTATGGAAGTGCTGTGAAGTGCTGTGATGTCAATTCTTAATTCTACATTCAACATTCAAAGTATAAATAATAAAAACATAACATCAAATATCAACAAGAAGAAAGTGGAATGGTAAAATTACATATGGATCAGTAAAATTATGAAGCTACATTTGACAATGGCCTACAAATATTTTTGAAATACACCAAACTGCCCTGTGTAAACAAAAAGTGCACGTGGTAAATTTGAAACTGCCATGACAATCAGGTGGCTAATCTTGAACTTCCAGGGGAGAGATATTGTGATTTGTGTATTTCAGTGAAGAAGATTCATATCTGTCCTTCATTATATGTTGGTAATGTCCTTGAGAGATACAGCAAAATGTGCTAGGCAATAAACTAGCAATGTATTTTTGCACCCACATTATTAAAAATATTATCTGAAATATCAATACATACTAAAAATCCCAAACATAACATTTTTGTGTCTATATTTAGACTCCCTCCACACACAAAAACACCAGGCTATTTTTTGTTCTACATCGAGCAGAACTTACCTGCATAGATTGTTCTAACAAATGTGCTATCGTTCTCCACACCAATTATTTCAGAAATAGGAGACACATCAAGTTTTGCAGCTAATCTTGGCAAAATGTTCTGGAGGGGGAAAAGAAGGGAAAAAATACATGTAGATAAAACTACATAATTAAAACAGTCAAGTTTATCACAAGAACCTGTCTGTCGGTGTAAATCAGAAAGCGAACACAAGAAGAAGAAGAAGACTACATAATCTTTCTTCATCTTCTGGTATTTATCCCCGAAGTGAACACAGATACTCAACCAACCCAACAAAGTTGTCGAATGTTTTACTGTCATAGCCAGCTCACCCCATACCCTCAAATTTTATTTTTTTCACTATAGTCTCTTATAACTTATCTGCTTTTCGGATAAAGAGTATCAGCTTTTAAATATTCTCTGAATGAGCTGTGCTACCCAACTCACCCCATACGCCATTGATTTTTTTTTTTTTTTTTTTTACTATAGTCTCTTATACCTTCTCTGCTGTTCGGATAAAGAGTATAAGCTTTTAGATTTTCACTGAAAGAGCTGAGCTACCTAACTCACAATATGCCCTCTGATTTTATTTTTTCACTGTAGCTCGGGTAAAGAGTATCAGCTTTAGATATTCACTGAACGAGCTGTGCCAGCCAGCTGGCCTGACAACTACATGGTCGTGTATTCTAATCTGAGTTGAAATAAGTATTTTTGTCTTTGGCAACTATGGATTCCAGGAATCATCATCTACAATCAGCAGGTCCTTTACAAAACATTGCTCTCATTATGACATGCCCAAAAGTATCTCTCTTTCTCTAGCCAATTCTCCAGCCCTATGTGCTTTGATAACTAACACATCTTTAATGTCTTGTTCTGGCTTCCTTTTAGAGATTCTATTGATATATATAATGTGGTAGTTCCCCCACCCTTCCACAACCTCATGGCTGAGCACTTCAACCTTCAGCAATCTTTCAGACTGCCAGGGAAAGCACCCTGCAGGTAAAGTACCCTGCTTTATTCCAGGAATAGTCAGCCTAAAACAGGTACCAGGAAAAAAAAAGGTAGTCAGTGGGGTACTGACCACAATATTCATTGAGTGCCGCTCAGTCTAACAATATAAGGCTTACATCATATACCTAACGCACCTCAAGACATAAAATGATACAGATCCACTACAAGCAACATTCTGGGGTGATGGCACCTTAATGACTGACTGCTGGAGTTCACTCTTCTTCTTTTCTCTACTCCCAGAATGCCTCACGGTGTCAGGACAGGAACACATCTCTGGAACAGGTCCTTCTGTTCACTTTGTATAAAGTACTTTTCAGTGTCTGTGATATTTCTGCAGTCCATTTTCTGCGTTGTCCAACTCTGACTGTTAGCTTGCTATGTGCATAACACTGCTCTCTGTGGTGCCTTGTCTGATGCCAATCTTGTTACCTTGCCAAAAGATTTTACCTTTTGTCAACCTGATAATGTTCAGTACTGATTCTGTGCCGATTCTTGCCTCTACATTATTTTTCCCCAAGTCAATCTTTCCTCGTTACACCTAGCATAGTACATAAACATTTCATTTCTGTTGTGACTATTTTCCTTCTCTCTTCTGAAGACAGTGTCCATATTTGACACTGATAACACATCGCTGCTAAGAATTTTACTTTTTCAGTCCCCAAATAACGCACAATGTGTGAGTAGATTTGTTAACATGCAACAGTTAACATATTATGTCTGTACATATATTATGTTTAATTAGGGCATGCTAAATCACTCAACAAAACATTTTTCTCGCACAAGTGATGTATATTTAGGCCCTGTGGATGTAGTATACCCATTATTTTGTTAACTTCAGAAGTGACTTACTGGGGCATCAACTATGACCTTCTGGGATGGAAAGAGTTCAATCTGGATAGCTCAAATGGAATTACTGATGCTATGAACGTAGAATATATTAAAGTTTACGTGGCCTGTCACCTTTTGACAGTCAGTAACAAGTGGATGTTTGTTATTGTGGGCAGCTTTCTGCCTGGTATAATCCTAAGAGGCATGATCCATCAATGAAAAAGAACTGGACTCCTCAACCAAAGATTCCCTAGATCCTACAACATGGCATGTTGGTGATCTAGTCATTTAGTTTATATTAGCTCTACTGCTGCAGTCTAAATCTGAACAGCAGAGAGTCTCAGCCTGTAGTCCTGGACAAGGAGTGTTTGAATATCTGACGATTACCGGCGGTATATACATATATATTTGTGTTTCTGTGTGTGTGTGTGCATGTATATACATATGTATATGTGTGTGTGCATGTAAATATATATATATATATATATATATATATTCTCACACACAACATTAACTGATTTTCAAAGACAAACCTAATCTATATCTTATTCAATTCAGACTGCTATTTAACACAGTCTTAATTAGATCAGAAATTTTGTTTTGCCTTAAAGGACTAGTCTTAATTGAACCTGGATTAGGGACTATTTTTTATTTCAAAGGTACAGATAACCTCCTTAATTAAACTCACAAAAGGTGCTATTTTTAATAAACACAGCAGCAAAATAATTAATGGTGACAGGCTATGACAACATGTGACATAGCAACAAACAATAACCTTTCCAAATGCAGTAGCACCAGCCAAGATGTGAGTGAACTTCAACTGTTTCTGAGTTGCTTCCAGAAATGGCGTCACAACCTCTAGAGAAAAAATAATTCGTGAAAAAGTCAGTGGAATTCAACATCATAACCACTGTAATTATTATTATCATTTTTTTATTTTCAACACTATTCTTATAGTGAAGTCTCAGTGGCAAAGTGGGCAAACCATTTGCCTCATGCTCTGAAGGTCATGGGTTTGTTTTCTGGCTGCGTCGTTCAGTTCACGGGTGCCATTTTTATGGAAATCATGATCGTCGCCGGAGTTACAGAGTGCACGCTCTCTGTGATGCTCTCGACAGGAAGCTAGCTGTTCTATGGAGAGAGAGACAGGGGCATATGAGATAAAACCTTGTGCAATGAAGTCAATCCTCTCAACAACAAAAAGTCATGTTGTAAAAGGCAGTCATGACTGGAATAAATAAAATAAACAAATTTTTAAAAATTCAAAGAATGCAAACAGACACAAGACATCTCACAATTTACTGCCTGGCATATTCCAATGCATCTCATCAGGTGCATTTATTTCTACAGTTACATCAACATGTAATGATGCATTTAAAAAAAAAAAAAAAACCTTTCCAAAGAAATACACAAATCACAATATTTCTAGTAACACTGTACATCTCACCAAAGGGAATTCAAGATCACCCCCATGATTACCATATCAGTTTCAAATTACAACACATACATTTTGTGTGCACAATGCAGGATTGTTCATTTTAACTGTCACTGCTCGTTTCAGTAA